GGTAAGCTATAAGATAGTTGAGGTTGATTAGCGCGACGACCCACTCACACATTTTCTTCTATTTCATACCTTGATTTGATAAGTTTTGAAGATGTCATCAAAGAATTAAATTGAAAAAAATTATGAGCATTGAAATTGTTGTAATTAAAGAAATCAACACTTGGGAATTAATAGAAATCCGAAAAGGGCAAACATCATTAATGAGAAATGGTCGTATAAGACCAAATTAAAAGTGAATAATGAACTGAATAAGTATAAGGCATGCATTCACTAAAAGTTACAAAAAATTATTTGAAATTTTTTATAAAAAAAAATCACTTCAACTGTAAGGCATGCCAAAGTCATATTGATTAATACATTAGTGAGCACAAATAGTGTGGTATTTTTATCAAAAAAAATCAATTAATCAAATAATTTTGATAGCTAAACAAGTCTATAAGTAACAATTTCAACAAATTAAATGAAGGCCTACATGGATGGTAAGCTATAAGATAGTTGAGGTTGATTAGCGCGGCGACCCACTAACACATTTTCTTCTATTTCATACCATGATTTGATAAGTTTTGAAGGAAGATGTCATCAAGGAATTAAATTGAAAAAAAAGCTATGAGCATTGAAATTGTTGTAATTAAAGAAATCAACACTTGGGAATTAATAGAAATCCCAAAAGGGCAAACATCATTAATGAGAAATGGTCGAATAAGACCAAATTAAAAGTGAATAATGAACTGGATAAGTATAAGGCATGAATTCACTAAAAGTTACAAAAAATTATTTGGCATTGATTATAAAAAAAAAAATTACTTCAATTGTAAGGCATGCCAAAGTCATATTGATAAATGCATTAGTGAGCACAAATAGTGTGGCATTTTTATCAGTTCAACATGAAATCAACCTTCATACATAGATAGTTGAAGAAGTAAGTATTTGTTGAGCAAACTTCCGGTTTTATGAAGATTGGTGATGAACATAAATTTTACAAATTAATAAAAGGGCATTATATGGATTAAAATAAGCTTTGAGAGCTTGGTATAGTAGGATAGATGGTCATTTCTAATAAAAGTTTAAATTTTTATTAATATTAGAGAAAAGATGCTTATTGCTTGCTTATATGTTGATGATTTAATTTGCACAAGAAAGAAAAGACATGCTTAAAAGATTTAAGCAATTAATAATGCTTGAATTTGATATGTCTAATCATGAAATATTGTATTATTTTTCTTGGCATTTTAAGGAATGGATCTTTGTTTATTAAATGACATATGTCCAAAAAAAAAATTGATTTTAGTTGAAGAGTTACGACTCTATTAATATTGAATTTGGTTCGAAGTTAATGGAAGATTATGAAGAAAAAAATGAGGTCAACTCTGAATGTAAATAAATTGTAAAAAGCTCAATATCTTTTACTGCAACATGGCCAAACATTGTGTATTATGTGAGGCTTATTAATAGTTATATAGAATGTATAAATGAGATAAATCATTCTGTCAGAGAAAGAATCTTACGATACTTACAACATCAAATGGACATTTAGAATACTCTAAAAGAAAGAAGAAAAATGAGAAGCTTCATTAATATTGACTAAAAAAGAGATAAATATGGTAGAGAGTGCATCTAATGATATGGATGGATATCTGCTAAGTTCAGGCGTTATTTAGGATTTCCGAAAAAGCAATCAATAATCACTTCATCAACAATTAAAGTTGAGTATATGGTTGCAACATTTAGCCACTTCCTAAACAATTTGGCTAGGGAATATCTTTGTTTAGTAACATTTCAAATGACAAGGACCAACAATAATAGATTGTGAAAATTATTCAACAAGAAAGAAGCAAGTATAAATATATGAAACCTTATACAAATCATCATTTATCTCACTCATTAAAGTTTTAAGAATTGTTTTAAGCATTGTCTTATGTGAAAGAGCTTGTTTGCTTAAATAAATTAATGGATAAGTGTTGTCAATGGACAACCTTAAGGTGTCTTAGTGGTTTTTAGTTTGTCCTTATCTCTTGAAGGCATTTGGTTAGTGAAATATGGAATGCAAAAAAGCATTTCTCTATAATTCCTTGCTCCCCCTTCATTGTTTTCCTTAAATTATAATTAATAAATCATAATCATTAAACTAGTGTTGTTTGATCGATGTTATATCTTATTTATTAAAAAAATTAGTCTAATTTTAAATTTAATCAATTTATTATTTCCTATTTATCTTAAAATAAATTTAATAATTTTAAAATTCATGATTGTTAAATCTTAAATCATAAACATTATATATATATATATATATATATCTATTTTAAAATATTGTGTATACCGATAGCGGTAACTGACATAAACATAATTGAACTGCGGTGATGGCTGATGATGGTCGACTCTGATGGTGATGACAAGCAGTGGTTGTCGACTGCAAAAGTTGTGGCTACAGTGGGCCTGTAGCGGATGGTGGACATCACTTTATATTAAACTGTTTTTTAAATTTGATCGAATTGGAGTTACAAATTCATGAAAGAAGAACTAAGAGCACCGGACAAAAGGGAGTTCTCTCTCTCTCACACACACACACACACACACACACACACACA